CACACACACCCTGTATATATATATATATATATATTGTATTGTTATTTTTTTTATTAATCGTGTATTTTAATTTGTGTGTATAATTAATGTTTAGGTACCTTTGGATATCTCAACTTGTCAAAATGGGAATATCTACTTACCTTCAAATGCTTAATAAAGTAGATATTAGTCTCACTGAAATTTATATCTTTCTTTGTCAAAATAAATTATTCTTGAATATAATTTTGGTTATAATCAATATATAATTACTTTTGAAATTAAATGTGTTCAAAACAAAATAAATTTGAAAATAAAATTTTTCTATAGAATGTAAACAAAAATTTATTCTATTATCTCTAAGGGTGGTTCTTTAGAAGAAAGTATCTCTGAATGAAATCCTGTGTTTTTCAATAATTTATATTAAATTGAAATTGATTTTTTTTTATACAATTTAAATAAAATTATATTTTTCCTACGCCAATCCTTATACTAAAACTTAACTTAAACAACAATGTTCAGAATACGAATATTCTATACTAAATTTTAATCAAGTCTAGATAACTTTTCGTTAGTTTACCTTTTGTTAATATTGTCCGATGCACTAAACTTCTTTTTCTTTTCTCTTTGATCACTTCTGTTTTCGCTATGCACCCTCTAGCTGTAGATCCAACTTCTGTTAGTTTATTTCGTGTTGTCTTGTACTGCTATTTCCTGCTGTATACTTCTGCTCCCTGACTTGAGTTATGTGAATTTCTTCACAAATTTGGGTTGTTCTCTATAACACGTTTTAATCTTGTTTTCGTTATTAGACTTACTTGTATTTGTATCTTCCGTAATATTCACTCAAATTGTGTATCGAAACGGTTTTCATTTATTCTTTCTGATACATGGTCTTTCCTTTTCCTATAACTTTTATTATCTTCTGTCAATAACTTTATCTTTCTTATTTTTTATTTAAATTCTACTCTTCCAAAATTCTAGCTGTCATATCTTAATGTTTATTATTCTTTTTTTTTTCTCGTCACCTAACACTTTTTCTTCTTAGTAACCGCACTTCTGTTTTTTTTTTCATTTTAATTTTTTATAGCTCACTATTTACTTAATACTATTTTACAATCCTTTCCCATTTAAAAATCAATTCCATTTTATCAGTACATTTTAATTTTTATGACAAGCGACTTCTGTCAGATATTTTCTTCTTTCAATTTTACTCCTTTCTAATATGCAATTTTGAATACATTTCATTTCCATACATCTCAATATATATATATATAAGAATATATGTATTGCAGGCAAACGTTAGCAAAAACACCAAAGGGAAACAAAAAAGTGCAAATTTATCTTGGAATTTTGCATTATCACACATTTATGAGTGAAAAGTGAAGGAAAGGAACAACATACTGCATCTATACTGTAAATTTTAAGATACGGTTTTCAGGTTCATAAAAGAACGCATTCGGACGGAGATGGCACAAATTACTCCGGAAGTTATAGACAAAGTTCGAGAAGAGTTTACTGCTCGTCTTTCTCACTGCATTACAATTAAAGGTTGTCAAAGTGAAAATCTATTGTCACTTGGGTTGTTAAAAATACATTTATTGTAATTTTATATTTTTTTTTCTTTGACACTACAAAATTCTATTACCTATCTAAACTTATTGATATGGTTGAACACATTTATATTTAAAAAATACATCACTGTCACACAGGTAACTAGACCGATCGAAATAACCCATGGAAGGTTGATTTGAAGTGGCGAAAAAATGATTTTTCGCATTTTTCTCGGAAATTTTGAGTTTATGTTAACAAGTGACCGCTACAAAAACTGTAGATTTTTGCATGATATACAACTTTTGTATTAGATACTTTTTTGACGTCGAGTTCCGCCAGAAATCGCAATAATACCATTTTTCATCCCTTTTCAACGCCCCAAATCAACCCTTCACCAACCCCGTTACCGCATTTATTTTTTTTTCGGTTTATTATGGGCCCTTCGCCATTTCCACTTATAAAAGCCCAGGTAACAATTTTTTCTTCTCTAAATGTAGTTTGATTGGACTACACGTCATATGTAAAACCAATATCACGCAGAATGCACTTTTAAAAAATGACCCGTTCCAGGTTTTTCTGTCCATAAGCACCAATTTACGGAATAATGATTTTATTCATTTCATTTTCAACATACTGTACATTTTTATCAACAAACTAAATTTGAAGACTGCTTATTGGATTGCATTTTATATCTGATAATAAGCTTTTCCAAACTATTATAAGATGCTGACATTTCAATTCAGTTTCAAAAACACACTTTGGTTAACGGGAACGAAATACTTTTTATTTTTGCACAAAAAAGCCTTTTTCACACAGCTTATGGTTGATTATTAAATTAATTGCACACATTTAATAATATGACTACTTATTGTTAAAATTTATATTTATTCCAACTGAACAGGTTGTACAACTCAAACTAATCAATAAATCTACTAGGTACCATTATTTAGGTATCATTATTTTCTATTTTTCAAACATTACAGTGGATTAAGTTTATTTCATATTTGGAGGCAAGGTAATCTCTTAAAATTATATGCTGTTCTGAAGCTCTAATTATGATAGAAAAATTATTTTTCGATGAATTATTATCAATTATTATCGATGTTGACGGAGCAATTGGAGCAAAAACTTCAACCACCTTTGAGGATATTCTATTTGAAACTTAAATTTTATTTTTCAATATACAGGGTGTTCTTAAATAAGTGTCGCAACGGAAAACTGTAAATTCCTCTTGAAAAAAGAAACATTCTTTACCTCTTCCATTTTTCTCTCCGGGCTTTCGTTTTCGAGATACACGGTGTCAAAAATTTAATTTTTTTTAATTTTTTTGCCAATATCTTAGGAACCATTTGAACTACAGGACTGAGTTTTTATATACGCATTACCAGTATTAAATAGCTACTTTTTCGCACTCTTCTCGAATTCATTGAACGTACCAGTGGTGGAGATTTTAAGGTATCGTACTTGCAACAAGTAGCTATTAATAGTGGTAATGTGTGTACAAAAGCTTAGTCCTGTAGTTCAAGCGGTTCCTAAGATATTGGCAACAATCTGAAAAAAGTTTTGACACTGTGTGTCTTGAAAACGAAAGCCTGGAGAGAAAAATGGAAGAGAAAAAAAAAAATTCTCTTTTCAAGAGGAATTTACAGTTTTCCGTTGCGACACTTATTTAGGAACACCTTGCATGTTTCCACTGATTTCCAACCTCCATCTCTTGGATGGAGACAACGTCTGCCAAAGAATAATCGTTGCAGAGGAGCCTCTGAAACATTGGCTTGTGTAGTCCTTCGGATGGGACAATTTAAAACATAATATACCGATTTTTCCTGGATTGCATATCTAATGAAAAATGTACATTTTTGTTAACTAAGTATGCGAAGCAGCATATTTTCGATACAATGTAATAAAGAATATATCCGAAATGACAAATGTCCCCTGAANGTCATTTGCCCAGGGCCAACTTGTTATAATAGGAATTTTTTAAAAACTCTCTTTGTTATTAAATGGTAAATATCTAATAAGTTATTGATTTTAGCTATAGGGAATGCCAAAAATGAAGCCTCGCATTCTGTGGTGAATTTTAAGGGGAGTTTTTCCTATAAAAGTTTTATTAAGTCGTTTCGTTTAAAAATATATTTTTAATTTTTTTAAATAATTTAAAAATTAGTAAGTGAAATAATTTGAAATTGTTCACGTATTTATGTAAACATTGTTCAAAATCTGAGGAGTTTTTTCTGAAAAATCTGATGAAATGCATTATTTATTCTTTCTTCTAACTGCATAGGGGTATTAATTTGTTCACTCTATACCACTCGTTTAACAGCACCCCACAAAAAGAAATCTAGTAGGTTGAGATCCGATGTTTTCAGTTCGTTTTTTAAGTTTTACTCGAAAATCAGACTCTTTTCGAAAAACAACATAGTAATTTGTAGAAAAATGAAAGACAAATCCGAAAATATCATGATTGGTACCATAAAGCAGTGGCGTACCATTTTATATAGAAAAATGTGCCATCGATACCCTGTATATCTGCCACCGGAACATCTAAATTTTAGGAAGAGATCTCATATTTTGGACAATGTTTACATAAATATATGTGCCCAAATTATTTCATTTACTACTTTTTAAATTATTTAAAGAAATTAAAAATATTTTCTGAAGTTTAACACTCTGTATCTTTTTAAAGAAGCGTCTTAGATAAATACTTTATACGAAAGACTTATTTTAAAATTCACTAAAGAATACGAGGTTTTATTTTTGTTCACCGTTTGTGAATCACCCTGTATCAAATGTAATAATTAATAAACAGCTGAAGCAATAATTTCACGATCAATTGAATCGGGGTATGGCGCACATGTTGGTTGGTCATTGGATTGACCGTCTTTTCCATAAATTTCATCAACATGCATCGCTTTTTGCAATAATAATGCGCAATCTTAGAAATCTGATATTTCCGTGTTCGAGCTTTATTTTACAATTAACAAATTAGTGAAAATTGATTCTAGATACCTTAAATTGTAGGTAATTTAATTGCCTACAATATAAAATAAATAATATTCCGATTTGTCGTCTAAATTTTCGTGGGCAGTAGAAAAAGTGAAATTTGCCACTTATTTCCATTTTTAAAATAAATATTACTGGTTTGCAGATCAAACCCTACATTGCTACTGTGAAGAACATTGCCCTTCACGCGAGGAACAAGGTATCTGTCAAGTTAATTTAGGCGGAAAATGCTTCACTTCCGTGGAAATTTTAGTAGACGAGTATGGATACGACTATCCTTTTTTGTCCTACGGATGTTTCGGGGCCGGTGAAAGCGGTTTGATGCAGGTTAGTAAAGAAAATACTTCGCGTAAGAAATATTTTTTAAGAAATGATTGAATGTTTTTCGTTATGTTCGGCGCTTCCACCACAGTGATAAGTATGGTGATACGTCGCTAGTTATACAAAAGCAATCTGTTTTTACCAAATCATTTGCAGTTTTAAAATTTAATTATAACACTACTATTTATTTGATTAAAAAAATAAGATTCGTATTCAGTGCCCATAAAAAAACTACTTTTATCATGCAATTTTTTTATTCTTCCTACAACAAATCGGTGGTCACGAGAAAGACATGTTAATATTCAAGTCCCGAAAAAAATCGTTCACCATATTTATTTTTTTTAGTGTAAAGGTAACTTGGTACCCCACGCGAAAACCAAATTGATTGGGTGTTGCGACGACGAAGATTTCTGCAACAAGGACCTCTTTCCCATGTACGTGGAGAAAATCTCCACGAGTTACTTCCAGAGCTTGTCGTTCATGGTGATGATGTCTTCAATAGTTAGCTGTTTCGTAGTGATCCTCATCCTAACCAGCGTTTTTGTAATGTACAGAAAGAAAGAGAAACTAGGAATAAAGACGGAGAAAAATGGAAGGGTAAACAATAACGTGGTGACCAATGACGTTGCGGACGACAAAGAAGTGGGGAGAATAGCAGAGCTCATTGAACAGTCGAGTGGATCCGGATCTGGCTTGCCCATGATGGTCCAGAGAACAATCGCCAAGCAAATTGAAATGGTCAGTACGAATTTGTGAAGTTTATAACATAGTGGAGAGTGCACCTGTTGTTTATTATACAGGGTATTTATAATGGAAGTCGCCACGTATGTTTAATTTTGCTGTCTAAAAATAAGGATAAATGTTTCTATTATAGGACTGAACTAAGTTATTTCCTTATTTTTGACAAAAAGAAGTTAACTAATACCTTTTATACCTGCTCTCTGTAATTGCAATGAGCTTCAGCATTCTATAAGTATTTTTAATAATTATCGATTTTAGGGTATCTCTATAGGCAAAGGCAGATTTAGTGAGGTTTGTTTGGGTAAATGGAGGGAAGAAAAAGTCGCCGTCAAGGTTTTTTTCAGCACCGAAGAAGACTCTTGGTTTAGAGAAACGGAAATATACCAGACTGTGTTGATGAGGCACGAAAATGTCCTGGGTTTTATAGCGGCCGATATCAATGGCAAGTAGTTAGGTTAGGTTGAAGAAAGCAACTGTTAACTTTAGGGTGTAACTAAAATAATTGGCCAAATTTTCGTGTTCTCAAATAAATAAATAAATCTGTGTCCAGTAATACTTTGCTTTTGAGATAATGCGAGCCAAATTTAAATAGAATCACCTCGGTGGCTTTCTAGTAATTACAAAATAAAATGATACACCTTATATACAGGGTGTTTCAGAAAGACCTCCCGTAAATACAAGGGGTGATAGTACAACAAAAAAATAAGATTTTTTTTTGTGTTATGAACTATCACCTCTTGTTTTCGATATACAGAGCGACATAATAACATTTTTAAATTAAAATATTTACGAAAATTTCCAAATGGTCGGAAATATTTTTATGAAATTTGGTATTCCGGGGTTTTTAAGGACGCCAAATACTCAGGTCTAATTATTTTTTGGATATTTCATAGAGGGCGCTAGTCATGCTACATTCCTATTACATTTTAAGTTCTAATTTTCTTAGGGTTTGGTTTTTTACCAATCGAGCTCCAGTGTCTAATGTCCAATTTTATTTTCTAAAAATGATGTACTCTTGTTAGAAATTTCCTAATGTGGACGGGTTTCGAGAAAAAAGGCATTTAATTGAACTCGTACAATACTACCGTGTATAAAATAAGTGACTTTCCTCAAAATAGGCTTATGTCAAAACTTATTTATTCATAAACAACGCATAAATTCTTAGTAATATTTTAAACATAATTAATTTTATACCAAAATTTTAGTGACTGTAATTAGTCGTTATTAACTACGGTCACTAAAAATCACTAAAATGTTGATATAAACTTAAATAGAGTTTAAAATATTACTGAGAATGTATGCGGTTGTTTATGAGACATCCGTCAATAAGTTTTGACATAAGCCTACTTTGAGAAAAGTCACTTATTTTATACACCGTAATGTTGTAAGAGTTCAATTAAAAGCCTTTTTTCTCGAAAACCATCCACATTAGGAAATTCTGACAAGAGCACATTGTTTTTAAAAAATAAAATTGTACATTAGATATTGCGGAGCCCGAATGATAAAAAACCTAACCTTAAAAAAATTAGAATTTAAAATGTAATAGGAATGTAGGATAACTAGCGCCCTCTATGAAATA